CTCCCTCCCTCCTTCCTTCCTTCCCTCCCTCCCTCTTCCTTCAGTTTCATTGTATTTCTCAGTATTTAGCCATTATACAAGGTAAATCCATTTTAACTATGATAAAAATTTCTTTATATCACAGAAATATTTCCACACTTACACTGAAAGCTAAATTATTTCAGGCTAGCAGAACAACAAAAAAAGTAGGCCTTTTAAATCTCCTCGGCCTCCTCTGTGGGGCAGGGGAGGGGGAGAAGGGAGCCCCTTGTTATGCAGTCGGAGGTCAGAGGCAGAGCCCGCTGCAGGTGACATTGCAGCCCCTCCGCCCAGCTGCGGCTTTATGTCACCTTGAAATGCATCTGCTCGCCCACCGGCTTGCTTGTCCTTGGCCGTTCCCCTTTAAGGGAGGAAGGGCAGGCCCTGTCCTTATGAATATGACAGAGCCAGGTCAACGGAGACCCTGGAGGGGACATGACCGGAGGTCGCGCTGCCGGGGAGGCCAGAGCCAGGACCTGAATCGCACCCTCTCACAGGCTCACTGTACAGCATCCCCAGTCCCAGGCCTCAGTTTCCCCATCTATACAGGGAGGGGCCGAGATCCGAGTGGGAGCAGGATAGACCAGAGCTGGAGTTGGGCTGGCTCTGCGCCCTCCAGCCCCGTGACAGGCAGCGAGTGGGGGGGCCCCGGGACCCCCAGTCCCCGCCTCCCGGGGAGGTTGGGCCTCATCCTCGTGGCCATCCCTGCCCCTCACCGCACCGGCTCCGCGGGCCACACATCTGGGGGCCTCGCTGCTCAGCTCCACTGTCCCGCCCATGTCCTTCCGGCTGCACCTGCTACGTCCAGGAGAGAAGCCACGTCTTGCTCACCAGCCATCCCTGGGGCTGGCCCAGCGGGGGCGGAGGCTGAGGTTCTGGGGGGCAGGGCCTCCCCGAAGGTCCCCAGGGGTTACTGCCCTGGGCCCCCATCCCCAAGCCTGGCAGTTCCTGGTCAGCCCCACCTGCCCGGCCAAGACCCCCCAAGCCCGAGGGGAGTGGGGCCAGAGCTGTCGCGGGGCGGGGGGGCTTCCGCCTACGTCACATCGTGCCCCGGAGGAAGGTCAGCAGAGCAGGATTCTTCAGTTCTTTATTAGAGATATTTTTAAAAGGCTTTTAAGTATTTTTTCTTCCCCCACACCACCAAATGAAATAATTGCATAATTAGTAATAAATCTGTTCCTCTTCTAAGTGTGGATTTTTTAAAGGGCATGTTAAAAATTTATCACGCTTCCTTCCCCCGACCCCTTTCCTCCACTCATGTACCCGACTGGGATTAATGCTTTTTTGAACCTAAACTTCCCCCTCCTCTTAACTAGACAGGTCATTAATAAAATGTTCTCTGAGAGCCAGAGCCTTTTAAAGTTGTATATCTACAGATAGATGGCTTGGGTGAGTTGAACACGGCTGCATTAAGTCCCTGTGATAAAATATTTATCCACCATTAGAATTTTTTTTCTTTCGGACTGTTTGTGAGGTGTCTTGCAGACGGGGAGGAGGAAGGGCTTCAGAATGAGGTCTGCAGATGAAGTCATTTCTCAGTTCTGGCACCTGCTGCCTCCCTCACATCGGCTGGGTCTCGGTTGTTCGGTGGGGCCGGGAAGATGCGGGGGCATTGGGGGATGGTCTCTCCCGGGGCTCATGGCCCCAGGGGCTCTGGAAAAGGAGGTGAGGCAGCGGGATGAAAAATGTGCCCTTGTTCACTCTTTTGGCTTAATTATTTTTGTGGGTTTATGGCTCTGATGGAGTCGATCTTCAGCCATGAGTCCAGGTCCTTTTCATAATCACAGACGTTGTCCCAACGGCCTCCTTTCATTGATCGTACTCGCTGGGCTCAGAGCTGGGCCCACTGTGTGTTTGTATTACACACACATGTATAATTCTAATAATCATAAAAAAGAGCGAGGTCGGTTTATAATCCTCCCTGGGAGATGAGAGCTAGAAAGCGGCTTGTCAGTTCGCACATCTAGTACGTGATGTCAACACCCGTGTCCTTTTTCGCTTTTCTGCTTGTGTTCGCTTGTCCTGGCACTCATTCCCTCGTGCACCGGCAGACACTCTCGTGAGCCAGGGTGCTGGCCCGGGAGCCGGGGGATCAAGTCGGAGTGTGCAGGTAAGCGGCTGCCCTCACCCACACACGAGGCTCCCATCTGGGAAGCAAGCAGTAAGGGAGAGGTGGGGCCACAGAGACCCTGACCCGGGCCAAGCGGAAGCCAGGTGGTGAGGAGGGGGAGTGGCAGCCTGCACCCACTCCAGGAGGGCGGGGAGCACCCTCGCTTGGCCCCGAGCCTGCCCTGCTGGCTTGGCAGCTACACCTTCTGAACCGACCCAGGCATGGGGGAGTCCCAGCTCCACAGACACCCAGACCCATTTGTGCAGTCGCCCTTGTCCAGAGACGAACTGGCTTTTCTTGCGGGGTTTGCATCCCACACTGAATCAGGACCGCAAAGAGGACTCTCTGAGTTTGTATCCTGTTGCCAGGTGCGTCGGTCCCACTGCCTGCAGACAGTTGCACGCGCATCTCGAGCTGCACATCCAGGAGACAGTGTGGCCTTCCACCCCAGGCTGCTCCCCCATCTGAGTCCGAGGCACTGCCATGCACCCAGCTGCCCGGAGTTGTCCTTCATTCCTGTCCTCTCTAGGGCCCTACCCACTCGAGTCTGTCAATGGGTCTGTCCATCTGCTTCAAAACGGATCTCGGATGCCCTGGCTTCTCATCATCTTCCAGGCCACCGTGGCGTCTCGCCACCTCCGTCTCTGCCTGGCTGGTCTGCTTGCTCCCTCCCTCCTGTCCTCTACCACTCTGTGGCTAAAGCGCTCCTTCAGACCAAGTCACCTGCTCCTCTACTCAGACCTTCTAGTAGCTTCTCACCTTGCTCAGAGTGAACAATCTGGTCCTTACCCCGGCCCACCTGCTCTCCAGCTGTCTTGAGTTTGCCCCTATCCCCAAGCTGGGCTAGCTGTAGTCTGCTCCTGCCACCCACTCATCCTTGCCACAGGGCCTTTGCATGTGCTGTGTCCCAGTCCTTAGCTTGGGACTTGGTGTGGCTGCCTTATCCTTGTCCTCCAGACCTCACATCCACACACCTGCTTCCCCATCCTTCCAGAAAGCAGAGTGAGGCAGGAAACTTGGAAATCCTCCTGCCCACTCCTTGCCCCATCCCCCATTTGAATCCTCTGCCTGGTACTTATGTTCCTCGTTTTGTTTCCCTTCCTCTTTCCCCTCTCCAAACGGCGCTAATCGGTAGCCACTATTAACAACGAAAACTGAATAAAATAAAACGTTCGGTGCCTCCATCCCACCAGCCACATTTCCCGTGCTCACCAACCACATGTGGCTGACGGCGCAGAATCGAAGAGCGTGATAGGTAACATTTCCATCATCACGGAAAGTCCTAGAGGGTTTGCTCCCCGAGAGCAGAACTGTGTGTGTGGCTCCCACCGTGCCTCCAGCACTGAGCGCAGAGTCCCGCGCCCAGTGGGCGCCTGGGATGTTCCGGGGTGCCGGGCGAGTGGGTTGGTGATGGTAGAGTACGCTGTCAGACGGTGCTGCGTGAACCCCAGCACGGTAACCCTGGAGAGCCACCCCCTCTGCTTGGAGGAAGCCCACACCCCTACCCGTTTGGAACTGCAGTCATTTGCTCAAGAGCAGAGAGGTGGCTGCAGTGTAGACGGTAATCGGCACACCGGAGCCCGGCTCCCAGCCTGCGCCCACCAGCTGGGTGACCTCTTTGGACCTTAGTTTCCTCCCCTGGAAAACGGGCACAATGCCGGTGTCTTGTGTCCCTCTCAGCCGCCGCGAGGTTTCCGTCAGACCAGAGCAGGTTTATGTGTGCTTTAGACGCTCCAAAGCAGCGTTTCTCTAAGCGCAGTCCCCAGGCCAGCAGCAGCCGTGTCACCTGCGTGCTTGCCAGAAATGCAGTTTGGGGGCTCACCTCTGGGGGTACGGGCCCGGCCGGGGGTGCGGATGCACGCCCAGGTCGACGGCCAGGGCTCCAAGCAGCATTTCACACACCCCGTGGCATGCACGTGAACTTCCTTTTTTTTTTTTTTTTAA